TTCCCATGACTTCTGAGTAAATGTGAGCTCATCCCACATACTCATCCCCTTTTTGACTACTTTGAATTTCCTCGGAGCTTGAAATTCAGTCTCCTGAAACATTTCAGGCCTCAACAGCCTCTGAAGGGATTTGTTGATGTTCTCTGAGCTCTGAGGAACACAGGGCAGGGACTCACCCTGGCCCAGTTGAACCTTCCACTCCGATTCATAAGAAGTTACAGACGTTGCCTGAAACATGTTAAGCTGACAAAAGGGAAAATGCACAGTTTGCTGATAAAGGCTGAGAATCACTTCTTCAGCCTGTAACAAATGCAAATAGAAAATGTATATATTTTTGTTAAAGCAGGGGAAATCTCCAGAGACAAGAGAATGGAAATTCTGTTAGAAAAATGTTAGGAAACTTGACACAAAGAGCAGCCTGTTGACAGGACACAGCATCCAGGTAGCTATGAGTGCTGAAAAGGGTGTGAAACAGGGGTTTTGTGGGCAGAAATCCTAGCTAACTGCATCTTAACACTCCTCTGTGTTAGCAGCTCCTTAAGTCCAGTGGTGTTGTTCTAAAGATGGATGTATTTTAGAGGAAAAAATTGGAAATCTCTTATTGTACCATTGAAAATGGAGGTTTGTGCCTGTGCAGCTGCCACAGAGAGTAGTGGGACAAGATGAGGAAAAGATGTAGCTTTTCTTCTGGAGCCCCCAGTGTAAGAAGGACATGGAGCTCCTGCAGAGTCCAGAGGAGGCCACAGAGATGCTGAGAGGGCTGGAGCAGCTCTACTCTGGAGACAGGCTGGGGGAGTTGGGGAGTTCAGGCTGGAGAAGAGAAGGCTCCAGGGAGACCTTAGAGCAGCTTCCAGTGCCTGAAGGGGCTCCAGGAAAGCTGGGGAGGGACTTGGGACAAGGGCAGGGAGGGATGGGATGAGGGGGAATGGATTAAAACAGGAGGAGGAGATTGAGGTTGGACATTAGGGGGAAACTGAGGATGGTGAGACCCTGGCCCAGGTTTCCCAGGGAAGCTGTGGCTGCCCCATCCCTGGCAGTGTTGAAGGGCAGGTTGGATGGGGCTTGGAGCAACCTGGGCTGGTGGGAGGTGTCCCTGCCCATGCAGGGGGTTTGAATTTAGATGGTCTTTAAAATCCCTTCCAACCCAAACCAATCTGTGATTCTATAACCAAACTTTTAGCAAAAGGGAAAACAATCATCTCACTGACTGTACCTCTGTTCTGTGGCTGCTTTGATCCCCTAATCACTCTAGGTGAGGACTAAGCTGGAAAAACAAGTTTGAGATCAGGAACTCTGGCAGCTTTTCCCACTGGTCAATGTGCTGGAGGGAGGTTTTGCCACGGCTGCTCGACCCTGGGTGAACAGTCTGCCAAAAGGTTCAGGAGCTATCCCAGCTCCCTTTCCATGTTCCTGGGTTAAGAGGCTGGATTTTCTTTGCCTTCCCATCCTAGTTGTTTGGAGAGGGAGAGCACTAACACCCCTTGCTGGTGGGACACTGGGGTTTTTCCAAAAAACCTGGGAATCTCCCTCCAGCAGCTGGAGGCTGAGTGGAGCTGCCAGGGAAGTGTGTCTTTTGCTTTCATCTACTCACTGAAGTGTTCACTTTCCCTTATGCTTTCCGTATTAAAACAGGCAAGCTGAGTTTTGGTTCCTCTAAGCCTGGGTTGAGGTGCTTCTCCTTCCTACTGACCCACACACCAGAAGACCCCTTCAAAACACCCTCTCCCCTCTGACTTGCGTTTCCTTCTTCCCCCACAGGTCTGTGCAGACTTTTGCAGACAAATCAAAACAAGAAGCTCTTAAAAACGACCTGGTGGAGGCTTTGAAGAGAAAGCAGCAAAGTTAAAACCCTCTCCATGCTAACAAGACATGCCATGCACTCGTTAGATTCCTTTCTTAGAAAAACTCATCCCCCCCCCCTTGCCCTTTTCTGTTACGTCCAGTCACCACTTGCATTCAGAGCTCTCCATGCAGTTCCATCTCCTCCCCATGAATAAAGCTGTACAAACTTTTTCAGTCTCTTGAGGCCTACTTTGCACCACATTTTACTATTTTGAGACCTTAGCTGATGTCTGTAGAAGTCCATGTATTTTTTTTCCCCACCCCTTTTCTTCCACCTTCCCCATTTATATGCATCAACATGGATCATTGTTTTGTCTTTTCCTCTCCCCCACCCCCTCCTGCCTTTTGTTACATTGGTGTAAAAAATGTAAAACAAGAATTTATTAAATACTGTGGTGTGTGAAAGAGGAAGAACTGGAAAAAAAAACAAACCTAAAAGAATCTATTCCAAGTGTGTTTGGGGGCTGGGAACAGGGGGATTGGCTGGTGGGAGGGAGGGAAGAGAGAGGGTGTTCCTTGGTGTTGTACTATACTCACTAAACCAGATTTGCAAGGAGACCTTGATTAGGAGACCTGCTGAAAGTTCTGCTCTTCTCTAGGCCTGGTTCCCAGGTGCTTTTCTGTCAATTTTTATGGAATGCAAAAAGGGGGTTTTGTTTTGATTTTGTTTTGTTGTTGTTTTTTTTTTCTTTTTTGTAAAGCTTAAATTGAATCTACATCTTGATTCTGGAGCCTCCATACTAAAAATTTTAAAAAAAGACAAAAAAAAGAAAGAGTTAAAAAAAAAAAGACTAAAACAACAAAAAAAAAAAAAAATAAAAAAATAATCCCAGGAAAAAGTGTGTGGTTGGTGTCCTTGTTTCTCTCTTTCCTGCAGCATTACTTTGGGATTGTGCTATAAATTATTTCCTTCCTAACAACTGGAAGTGGTGGCTCTGGCTGGAGGTGGGTAGATGTGGACTTAAAAAAGTCAAGCCCTGACCAGGTCCCTCATCCAAACAGCTGCTGGATTGTAGCTAAAGGAAAAAAAAAACAAAAACCACCTTTCTCTTTTTGAGGTGGTGGTTCCAATTGTGGATGCTCAGCCAAAAGCTCCTCTGCTTGCTCCCTGTGGGGTTTGTGAACCTTGTTCAGGTTCTTTAAACCCTTGGTGGTCAGAGGGACCTTGCACAGCCTCTGTTCCACCACCTCCTTCAGTGTGCTCTGGGTTTAACAAACCCTTCATCTTGGTGAAACAGAAGGCAAATCCCTGCTGGGCTCTGCCTGCTCCTGGCCCTTGTTTGGGTGAACCTATGCAAATGGAGCCTGTTGGCATTCATCTTGATGAACATGCTTTAATTGTCATCTAGTGCCATGAACCTTCATTTCCATGAGGAAGGTGTTTGGCAGATCCCACCCTGTCCCCTTGCCCTAGGTCAGCTCAGCAGATCCAGCTCTTGCTAAACCCCTGGTGCCTTCCCCTAGAAAATGTCAGACCAGGTTAAAATACATTCCTTAAAGAAAATCAAGCCTTGGGCTCTTTACTTCTAATTAACAGGTATTTTGAGGTTTAATGAAGCTGTGCTTCCTACATTGCTAGGAATCTGCTCATGGATTGTATTGGTATTGGAAGTGAATTGTTCTGCAATTCCTAGGGAAAAGGAAATCTTGCTGGCTTGAGGAGGAGGGAAGCAGCCTCATCACCGCTTAGCCTGGAGGGGAAGGATTACGAATGAATGGAATGAAAAAAAGCCACCAGGTTTTTTCAGGGGCCTCAGAAGAGCCTGAAAAATATCCTTTTCTTCACAAAACCATGGGACAGTTCCAAATACTGGCACAGCTTGTAGTTGCTCCACGTGCTGTTGCAATGATGGACACTGGGCAATCCGAGTCCCACTCCACCTATCTAGGCTGAGCTGGGGACTTGTGGAGTTGTGGCTTGGCTTCCTTGGTGCGAGGACAAAGGAGGGAAGAGGGTGACTGCCTTGGGAAGGACAGATGTCCGTGGGACTGGCAGAGGAATTGTAAATGGGTGGTAACAGAGTTAAAAGGGGGATGGAATGTGGTGGTGTTGACGGTGGGCAGTGGGGAAGTGCTGGGTAGCAGGAAAGCAGTTGGAGGGAGAAAAATGGGAACAAAAAGAGCTGAGAGTGACTGCAGGAAAAGGAAAGTTGTTTTTTTAAAGGAAAATTGTGAATTTTTTTTCTTGAGGGGCTGCAGGTCTGGCTGATTTTCTTTTTCCTTGCCTAGTGAGCTCTCCCCTGCCTGCACAAAAGCACTTCTGGCCAGGATGTGGCTTTTTCCAAACCACTGCTGCTTCTTTTCCTTCTGCAGTCAAGGAGCCATGGTGCTGGGGTTATCCCAGTCATCAAACTGGGGATAAATTCCTCAATGAGAGGACAGGACTGAAAACCAGACTAAGCAGAGAGGCACCATCTTCTGTCTGGGTAACTGCCTCCTCCACTGACCAAAAAACAATGGAGCAGCTTCCCTGAGAAGCCCATGCCATTAAAATGTGTGGCAAAATATAAGTTAGGAGAAATGAGGACTAGGAGATGCACTGAGAAAGAGGAGGAACTGCCAGAAGAACCAGCAAAATAAAACCAAAGGAGGCATGTGGGGCCAGGACTGGTTTTATAGATATGTGAGCTGGGATGATTAAAATAGGTATTTGTGGACCAAAACACTTTGGTTACACTGCTCCTTCCTTCTGAACTGGTTCCAGTCACCACCAGATCTTCCAGGAGCTCAGTGAAGATGTGAGAGGTAAGTGTTTGTGTTTCTGGCAGGTTGGTCATCTCTGTCCCCTCCCCTGAGGGGGATGTTTGCCAGTCCTGGAGAAGCTGCAGGTCACCCAAGGCAGCAAGTAAAGCAGGAGGGACTGGGCTCAGCTCTGGGGCGTAACAGCAGTGAAGAGCAACCTTCTGAGGTATCAAGTAATTCCAGTTTATCCCAGTAGCATCACTTGGTATCAAAGAGACACAAGGTCTCAGTACCATCCTCTGCCACCTGGCTGGGATTGTGTCTCAGCAGCACAATGTGTCACCTGCTGGCTCTGGTCCTTTTCTCCCAGGAGCCACCAGGATGGAGGGGCCGGTTTCCCCGGCATTAAGGTTCGTTAAGGCATTAAGAATCTTCATCTGCATCCTCCTGTTGTCCCTCTGGGGCACGTCCCTTGGTCAGCTCTCCCAGCTGTCCCCCTGCTCCCCCAGAAGAGCATCCCTTTCTTCATGGGTGCTGGGTCTTCCTCCTCGATAAGCAAGGAACTGGAAGGAGATCTGAGCAGAGGTTAAGGCTCCTCATGCAAACAAGGGTGGGTCAACATGGGGTCTCACCAACCTAAAAGTTCAGCTTGTGCAAGAAGAGGTGGAAACCAGACAAGCTTAAAGCAAATAATCACAGAACCATGGAATGGTTTGAGTTGGGAGAGACCTTCAAGATCATCTAGATCCACCCCCCTGCATGGGCAGGGACACCTCCCACCAGCCCAGGTTGCTCCAAGCCCCATCCAACCTGCCCTTCAACACTGCCAGGGATGGGGCAGCCACAGCTTCCCTGGGCAACCTGGGACAGGCTCTCACCACCCTCACAGAGAAGGATACGACCACATCAAGGGAAAGGACACCCAGGCTGCCTACCAGCCAGGGGAGGTGGTGCAGAACATAGTCACCTTCACCTTGCCCTGCTTCAGGGTTCTTAAGCAGGACACTGAGGCCATAGAGCAAATTTCCCAGCATCACCAAGGCAAAGAGGGAGTAGGAGACCCCAGTGGTGGATTTCCTCTTGTACTGGAAATAGAGGGGCCAAAGAGAGGATCTTGGGTGTAGCTCTCTGAAATCTCACTAGAAAGTTGTTATTAATCACCTTCCCTCCAAAAAAAGAAGAAAAATGGTGGTGACTTGATGCCAAGAGCACTGGAGTTCCCCTTTTGCTTGTACATAAAGACAAAATGAAAGCCCCACCCTCACAATCTTGGTTTGTTAGAGGGAAGGGAGAAAAATGAGTCAGGCATTTGGAGTGGAAATACAGAAAAATAGTTTCTTACGGTCAGAGATGGGGAGCTGGGGCCTCTGAGCAAGGAGAAGGAAGATGATCCCCACCACCCCTCTTCCATTTGGAATCTCAGGACCCCAGGGGGCCCCCCTGCCCACACACTTACGTTAGTGTAGATCTGGGGCAGGCGGGAGCCCAGGTACAGCACCGAGGAGATGGAGCCGATGGTGAAGCCAACAACCTCCT